TCCCTTCCAGTTGCTGCATCCGGCCCCCTCCCTCCCTCTCCTACTGCTTTACACTGCCCTGCTGTGCTCACCATGCCCCCCGCCCCTGCTGTGTGCTAGCTCCATGCAGCCTTGCGGCACTTCCCTTGGACCTCCCTGCAACCCTTTTAAAATCTGCTTGTGACCCACGGTTGAAAAATGCTGACCTAATCCAACCCCCTACTTAAAGCAGGAGCAGCCCCGACTATATCATCTGAGCCAAGGCTTTGCTTAGCTGGCTGGATATGTGGTGAAGCTGGATGGGGAAGGTTCTCCCTGCTGTGTGCCTGCCCCCATAGATGTGGAGGCTTTTCCTGGCCCAGTGCCAGGGTCTCCTGAGCCCTGCTTTGCTCTGCTGCCACACAGAAGAGGAGAGGATTTTTCCCCCACCTTCTCTACGTGGCAGGGCAGAGCAGGGCTCAGGGTACCCATGCTAGGTGCCTGCCCCCACAGCTGGGCATGGAGAGGAGCGGGGAGCCCCTGCTTCAGGGGCTTTCCTCTGCCCAGAATGGGTGTCCCAAGCCCTGCTCTGCCCCACCATGCAGAGAAGGAGAGGGGGAAATTCCCCTCCATTCCCATGCAGTAACAAAGCAAAATGGAGCTTGGGAAAGCCATGCTGGGCAAGGAGGAAATTCCTGCATGCCTGTGCCCACAACCCCTAAGGCAGGGGATACTTACCTGCTCCACTGTGGCCTGGGCTTTTAAACTCTCCGCCAAAGCAGGGAATTGAACAACCTGATTGTACTAGGCTGCCCCTGGAAATATGTGGGGCTTCCACAGTGTTTCCAGGGCTTGGCCGCTTTTCTTCTCTACGCTTCAGGCAATTTTTTTTTAATGTTTTTTCTGCCCTCCCTCTCCCCCATAGTTTTCAGGTCATTTTTGGCCACCTGTCAGTTTTCTGGAGATTTAGGGAAAACACTAAATTTTGGGCTTGCCCCTGAAATCTCCTGAAGCTCAAATTCCAGTGGTCCCTAGATATAGGACTTAATCCAAAAGGCTTTGTTGGACTTTAGGAGAATAGGGTATAGTTGGAAGTGTAATTCTTGTCCTTATACCTTAATTTTCCAGGATAAGTTTCAAAGTAAATCACTGAGATGATCTTTCAGTAACTACTGATAGATAATTTAATGATTTTGAACTTTATTTTAATTTTGTTGGAGTTTTTGTGTATTTTAAATTGAGAACATTTATTCTACACATTTGGATTGAGAGTTTGTATATGAAAACTAGGTGATAATAGTTAACAAATATTTAAATATTATAATTGTGTTTAGGTTTTGGTCGGACTTATTTAAAATTATTCCCTAAAATTAACATATGTAATACATACAAAAAGTTTGGACTCTATTTTCTTATTTTTCACTTTCTGCAATATGTTTATTTTCATTCAAAGACTGATTTACAGCTACAAATGGAAGCCCAGCGCATTTGTCTCTCTCTGGTTTATTCAGCTCATGTAGACCAAGTTCGTGAGTATTTGCAAGTTGAAAAAGAGAGCGCACTCTGCAGCCTTAAAGAGGAGCTTGTCTATAATCATGCACAGGAGATGAATGAGCTTAAGAAAGCACATCAGTTGGAGCTCCAGACCTTGAAAGATCAGCAAACAGGTAATTTGTTAAAAATGATAGTAGGCAAGTTCTCAATATTAAAAAAAAAAAAAAATCTTTGAAATGATCATATGAGCAGGAAAGTTGGAGGAAAAATCTGTAGTTGTCTAACAAAGTATGTCTTTGCAGTTGATTTTTTGAAATATTAAATGCCTTTTCAAAGTGTAGTGTATTTATAATGTATTATAAATAGGGACCTTTTCAAATGGTGGTCACATTTTTAGCAGAAACTGATTTGAGGTGGTTTCCATGAAAAACGGTAGGTCCCTAATGGTAATGTTATCAAAAGTCCTATACATTATAAATATCATGCATTGCTACAGTTCAGAATATTTAGGAAAAAATTGATTATCACTTTTGTTCTATATGTTAATTGAGCAGTGGAAGATTATTTTCAATTTTTTTTTTATTAGGTTAATTTTAAAAGGTTTATGTAAGAAATGTTTAGGGTTGGATTCTGTAATGAAATCTGATGAGTTAAATACAGTAGCACAATATCTTTCTTGTCTGTTTTTGCACTTTGTTTCCATCCTTGAATTCTTCCTATAGCTTCCTATCCACCCTAATCAAGCTTCTGTGGCCTTCTCTACACATTACAGGTATCGTGCAATTAAGTAGTCAATTCTGTACAGGCAACCTCTGCTTAGTGCTTTTAATTGGTTCCTGGAAGACTGAGTGTTAAGCAAAACCGAAAGTATTTGATGACTCAAGATGGCAACTGCAGTTGTTTTTAATGACCCCGGATGGTGACTGCAAGCGTTATAATGAAACTCACTGAGTGCTAAGTGAAATTAGGTATCAATTTTAAATGAGCGTTATAGCGAAATAGTGTTAAGCGGGGGTTGCATGTAATTATCTTGAGACCAGATACACGTGAAAGTACCTATCAAGCAATAAAAGCTTCAATCAGCTAAAAGACCTTGAAAACGTGCATTAACTTTATAGGTGGTTACTATTAAGCTTTAATTTGCATGTGTAGCACAGTCTCCCCTGCAGGGCTCCCAGCCACAGGGGTGCACCATGCCCAGCTGGGGCTTGGAGTCCCCCAACTGAGGGGACTGTCAATTCCAGCAGCTGCCAATTATGGGTTCCAGCAGCCTGCCACAGCTGCCAGGACCCACAGTCCCGCAGCTGCAGATGCTGGGTCCCCACAGCCTGTCTTCAGGGGCTCATTGTGCCTGAGAGCCCAGTGCTGGGAGATGGTATCTGACATGATCTCCCAGGCCTGGGCATTTCACGTACCCCCAAGGATGGGAGATTGCAGCACCTGTGATTTTCTTGGTGCATAACTCCCCCTGCATTGGCAGTAGGGCATAATGGGATCTAATGTACAATCCCACAGTCACACCTCCTGTCATGCATGTGCAGCATGGCAGGAAGCACAGTTGTGTGGATGGCACATTAGATGCCACCTCGTCTTTACCTACATGGGTAGAGGGGCCGTTGGTCACCCACCTCCAAAGCTTTTGTCTTTGCTTATCTCTTCACCTCACTCTTATCTACGATTCCTCCATTCTTGTTTTCCCATGTATTATCTTCTGACACAATCACTTCCTTTTCTTTTAGCAAATCTCTGTGGCATATAATGTCAGTACATAGTTTTCCTTAAAACCCATTCAGCTACAGTAACTGAATCTAACCTACATGAATATTAAGCAGAAAAAAAAATTGTTTCACATTGGTTTTATTTGTCTGTCTGTCCATCCTAAAATTATGAGCTCCTTAAAGAAGGGACTGAGTCTTTTTGTCTGTTGGGAAATGCATGACATCTGGTAATGCAATAAATAAATAAGCTAAATAATTTGTATTTGTAGATGAGGAAATTAGATCTGCAGCAATGCTTACAGAAAAGTTCAGCAAAGCAATATCTGAGGAATGTTCTCGGCTTACACAGGTAAGACCTTGCAAGGATCATTTTTACATGGGATTTTTGAAAATTAAGAACTGTTTAGTTATAAATAACATTTCTTTTCCTTCTTTGTTTTTCACATCTACCTTAGCAAGCTTTTCTTGGAACATTTTTTCTTTTCCAGTACTCTGCTCCAAAGACAGACTGAGTTACATGGCTAGGCATCCAGGAACAGAGTGCCTCCAAGCTATCTGTGCTGTCTAATTGCTAGCTTTGGGCAAATGCGAAGCAGAAGCAGCCAGAGGGCCAGGGAGGGGGCTTGTTCTCAGGTGGGCGTCTTGTTGACCATGGTCAAGTGTAGATGTAGCTTCATAGTTTCATAGATTTAGGGTCGGAAGGGACCTAGTAGATCTTCTAGCCCAACCCCCCCCAGGGCGGGAGAACAACAAAACCCCAAAACAAAAACGGGACTCAAATGAGTCCAGCCAGGTAGGCATCCAGCCTCTTCTTAAAGACCCCCAGGGTAGGGGCCAGCACCACTTCCCTTGGAAGTTGGTTCCAGCTCCTAGCCGCCCTAACTGTGAAGTAGTTTTTGCGGATGTCCAATCTATACCTCCTCTCCATCAACTTGTGCCCATTACTCCTTGTTATGCCAGCGGGCGCTAGGGGAAACAGCGTCTCCCCCAAACCCTTCTGGTCCCCCCTAGTGAGTTTATAGACGGTCACCAGGTCCCCCCTCAGCCTTCTCTTGTGGAGGCTGAATAGGTTCAGGTCCCGCAGTCTCTCACTGTAGGGTCTGCCCTGTTGTCCCCGGATCATGCGGGTGGCCCTCCTCTGGACCCTCTCCATGTTGTCCACATCCCTCCTGAAATGGGGCGCACAGAACTGGACACAATACTCCAGCTGTGGCCTGACCAGTGTCGCGTAGAGGGGGAGGATCACCTCCTTGTCTCTACTCGAGATGCACCTGTGGATGCACGATAAGGTCTGGTTAGCCCTGCCAACCATGACCTCGCATTGTCGGCCCATGTTCATCTTGGAGTCAATAATGACTCCAAGATCTCTTTCTGCTTGATGAACCAGAATATTTTCCTCTTCCTTCCTTTATTTCTTTGGCTCTTGTTTTCCCCTCCCCCACCCCCCAACAGTATCTTGTATGTAGTTCTTCTGAAGTCTTGAAGTTGTCTTGTTTCCTTTCTGTTCTTTCCTGCGTGTCTGTGTGTCCAGATTTAGTTGTCTGTCTGGTGGTAGACTTGCATACAGGTTGGCATTCTGTTCCTGGATGCCTAGCCCTGCATATGTGGACAGCCACATGCATGCTCAGACTAGGCATATGTATGGGTGACAAAACATGAAACAGATGGAGACTTCCCATTTTTTTCTTAATAGCTCAGTAACTAGAGTGTTCTCCTGGGAAGCTGGAAGTCCTGAATTCTGGGGTCCCTTGTCCCTTTTGTGTGAGGGGGACCTGGAACTAGGACCTGTAGCTTCCCTGGAAAGTACCCTAGCCACTGAACTGTGTGTACCACAGTCCTTTTACCATCTGGAGCCTAAGCCTGGTAGTCATGGGTTTTAGCCAGCTACATTTCTGGTAATCTAAGGCCTTTACAGGCGTGTCCAGGCAAATATGCATATGCGTTTCCCTGGGGACAAATACTAGCAGCACATAGTTGTGCCACTGCTACTTCTCCCCAGGGAATGCCCTGCACACGTGTTCTGTGGCATAGCAAATTGCCCTGGGTGGGGTAGGGGAGGCTGACCTCAGCAGCCGTACCTGGGGTCCTGGGGGCCTTCTGGGCATGCGGAGCCTAGCAGGCAGCCTGAATGTGGCTTGATCAAGCCAGGCTCCAGTTTTGGGCGGCACATGCTACAGCCACGTGCACTGGCCTGCTTTTTTTAAAACCGGTTTTCCTTTCTTTTCTTTTTTTAGACACCAGGATTTCCTGGTATCTAATTTTGGCTCCACCCTGCAAATATGCAGCAAAGAGAACCTTTTCACATGCACTGCATGCATTTTGTGACCCTCAAAAGCCTTTGAGGCACAGCAGACCACACATGAGGACTCATCTGGATGCACCCTCTGTGTCCACAAAGGACAGGAGTATGGGCCCCAGCCACCATTATGCATGTGCAGTTTGTTCAACTAGGTAGTCACATATAGTCATCCATGTGCACATGGCTGTGTGCCCAAAAATAGAAAAACCTTTGTGTGGGTGACATTTTGGCACTTGGATCACCTAAAACACCATGTAAAAACCAAATCTGAATGCTTAAATGACCAGGAAAAGAATAGAATGTCACCCTTATGGTCAGAATTAATAAATTGATAACTTTTAATGCCAGTAGGAATGTTTATGATCACCTAGTGAGCCTTCTACATAATGCAGACCAAAGTGCCTAAACCTGTAATTTCTGCTTCAAATCTATAACTTTTATTTAAGCTATAGTATGTTTTAAATCTTTTTTAAAGATTTCTAGTAATGGAGAATGTACCAGATCCTTAAGTAAAGAGTTCCCAATGTTTAACTCTTATCATTGAAGTAAGGCACCAGGTCCAACTAACACGCTGCCTCCTCCAGTAAAGCACCATTTCCCACCCCCTCATGTCGGTCAGCTGTGCAATCAGAACAAAAAAAAAATGGGAAGGGAGGCAGTGCAGGGTAGGTCAGCAGAGATGGGGGTGTGCCTGGTGTTATGGGGAAACAGGGAGAGTGATTGCTAGGCTCACAGGTGTGCGTGGGCCTATGGGAGGGAGGAGCTTACCAAAGTTTGAGCCCAAGCCCCTGGGCTGGGGGAGTGGGCGTGGTTCCTTGAAAGAGGAAGGCCCATTGCTCTCCCTGTCCGTTGCGGAGCCACAATAGGCCCTGTCCCTGGCCACGCCCAGCAGCTGTCACGGCCTGGTGTCTCCCCCCATGGGCGCTCTAGTTCCATGTGCCTGTCCTTCCCTCCCCATCACCACCTCTCTGCATGTACCTGCCAGCAGGCACAGAATGGGCTCCATGGTCCCTAGCCTCCAAAAGGAAAAGCTCTGCACTGGCATGCTATCCTAGAACGGCCGCACGCACATGCATGTGGCACCCCCTGCTTCCAGTCACCCTCCCCCACTCCCCCCAGCCCAAGAAGCCCCTTGTAAGCTGGAAGGCTGCCAGCCTACAAGGTGAAACCTGGGTGTTTCCTGTATTTTTTCCATTTAAAAGATAAAATCTGTGTTGTTCTAGTTTAAAGGAGAACATCTGTGCGTTTTCTCCCTTAAAGGAGAAAATCCATGTTTTCTGCATTTCTTCGCGGTGAACAGAAAACCCAGTTCCCTGGTCATAACGCATGTTTTTTACTTCTCACTTAGTTATTTTAGCTTTCTCTAAACCCTTTCCAGTTTTTCAACTACTTTTTTGAAGTCTAGGTACTAGAACTGGCCATGGTAGTAATCTTACCGATTGTTTGCCACAGAGTTGCACTGGGACGTTATGTTCAATTGATTATCTACCAAAGTCATTGTTTTCTAGGGAGTAGTCTCACATTATAAATATTACTTCTGTTCTTTGTTTCTAGGGGCATATGACCTCGCATTTCGCTGTATTAAAATACGTACAAGACATCTATCTATTTTGAATATAAGTGTTGGGGGGGGTCTTTGTTTCATCAGGCACTGCTAAGCTTTGTCAATTATCACATAATTGTATTGATATTGCAGTTATAAGCCCTCTTTCCTGGCTTCTTTCTTTTGGTTCTACCTCTTTCTTTACACAGGTGTAATTTATATCTCCTCATGTTATTTTTCTTAAGTTCTGTTCTAGGAGGCACCTAAAAAAATTATTGATTCTATTTTCAGTGTTAATACTGTATAGTATATTCATCTACTTACAATCAGAAAGGAAGCAATAATGTCACTGTTTGTTACTACAGAGAACTGCTTCTGTAGCTCAGTTAATTACCTGACTAAAGTTTTCATGAACTGTACTTGGGAGCTAGTATATAGAGAGATTGAACTGGGTTCTATCAAATAAACTAGTAAATTAATTCTAAGTGCAGACTCTATAGTATTACCAGGAAATAATATTCCTGCAAGTACCAACAGTACTCTTAAGTCCAGCTGGTAGAAACACACAGGAGGTCATTCTTGGCCATTGCCCCTCAGCTCTAGAACTCCCTCTTTGTTGAAGCCTGCCAGAGCCCAAGCCTGGACTCTTCCAGAAGTGTTGCAAGTCCTTTCTATTTGGACAAGTCAAGGTGCTGTTTAGGGGATTTCTGCTTCATTGTTTTATTTTACTTTGTTATTTTGTTTGATTTATTTTAATTTCCTTTTTAAGTTGCTCTGTCTCTTACTGTAAGCTGCCCTAAGCCTTTGTTTGGAAGGGCAGCCTATAAATCACTTTAATAAAATAGTAGTGTCAGAGCCAGAAAGAACAATAATAATTCTTGAGATGCCAGGTTAAGTTTATAGGGCGAGCAGCTAGATAACTTTTTCCAAATCTTGTAAACTGAAATTCAGAGAGAAACCCCACAAAGCCATCTTTGCAGTCACTTTTTTCAGCATATAGCTACACCTTCAACACAGTACCACTACCACGGAGAAAAGTTGCTTCCTTTGTATGGCATCTTTATGATAACCAGGGTATTTTTCTGCTTAACCCAGTGGCAACAAACTTAATTTGTTTTTTTTAATTCTGGGAGCGGGGATTGTGTTCACTCGCATCATTCCCTTTTTGTTCCACCTGTCCAGTTTATATCCTTGATAATAGTACATACTGATCTTTGCAAAAATCTATGCCCCTGTTGTAGGACTCTTGTAATTTTTCTACAGTAGAGGTTCTTTCTCAAATGCAAAAGATCAGGGAATCAGAATGAAGGTATGAGGCAGTATGAATTCATCTGTGTCCAACCACAAAGTAGGCCTTATTCTGCAAACGTTGCAAGATTTGGCAGCATCCACTTTAATGCTATGGCTTCTTTTTCCTAAAAACACTCTACTTTCCACATTTTGTTCAGTCTATCCAAATTGTAAGGGTCTCTTATCTGAAAATTTTACAAACAGCTGCATACAGTGATTTCTACAGAAGATACTATTCCATAGGTAGTGCTATTTTTTGTTCTTAGTTTGCTTGTTTTTATAAAGCCGTAAACTGTTTTCCTTTTTTGATATTCTCGTTTGTTATGTAGTCTTTGTGCAGTGTTCAGAGTGAGCAGTACTCAACTGCTGTTGAAGTTAGTGATGGAGAACAAGAAATATCACATGCTGCTTTTACAGAGAAAGAGAAATCTAACCTTGCATTGCCGGTACAGAGAGTTCAAGCTCAAGGTAAAATAGAGAGAGTGTGTGACATGCACGCGCACACGCACGCACGCGCGCACGTGTACGTGTCCCTGCTAATAACTTTTAGGTTACGCTAATATATTTGTGGAAGTTATTGAACTAAGCTAAATAATAATACTTAGGCTCAGAATTTCTGAGTAAAATGGATACAAATGTACTTAACTGACTAGTTGTATTTGAATATATATCAGTATTTTGAACGGTCTTTATTATGAGTGCTATACTGTACTTTACTGTTTACAATGCTCATTACAGTGGAAATTTCATGTGGATTAGTGAAAGGGATGATTTTTCTCCATACATTTCTGGAAAAACAGGTTTTATCATAAACTATAAAAAGAGATGTATACAAAGTGCAAAATCATACAGGCCCCTGCCTGTTTATGTAATCATTTTTATGGTAATTATCTCTTGTGACAAATATCTGAGCAATTTACCATATTAAGAGACCATGTACAGTGGTACAGTAATTGTAAATGTAATGGAAAATGTCACCATTCTGCTTTGTAATTTAGCCTTGCAAGAAAATATGCAAACTCTTCTGAACAAGATAAGGGAAGAGTGCAACAGGATGATGGCACTTCATACACAGTTTATGAGTGACTGCAAAAAGGTAAGTTATTTTCAGTTTCTATGATCACAATATGAATATGTATTAAATGCAATGAAACTTATTTCTTTAAGTTCCAATCCTGAAAGCACTTATGCCCTTATTTAAATGTATTCATGTCAGCTTCACTTTAAATGTAAGACATAGTATATGTGCTGTGTTTGCAGGATCAAGGCCACAATTTTTAATATCTGTTTATTAATGACTTGTCATGTACCTGAACCTAAGAAAAGGAAGTAAAGTTTTTAAAATTAAATTGGGAACATTCTTAAGTATGATATTTTGTGTCATATAAAACTAACTTGGCATTCTTGGTGAAAGAGAATATATAGCAGCATTTGTAGTGTGTCAGACAGTCTTCTGTGCCTAAATTCAACTGAAGTCTCTTAAGGTGACTGCAAAGTTGATTTGGATTTGGCACTAAATGTGAACAGAAATGAAGCTATCCAGATCCTTTCAAAAGAAGCTTCTTAAATTGATGCTTATGAACAAACTAGCTTAAATAAATATGAATGAACTAGCTTAAATAAAGTTAATTAAATTGTAAGAGAAGAAAATTTCAAATAATCTTGAAAACATCATTTTAAAAGCAAGTGTGTAAATAGAATACAGTTGTAAAATATTCATCTTCCTTAAACTAATTCAAATTTTTGTTGTTTGCTCATATGTCATCTAATTAGAGTTGGGTGAAATTTCTTTAGTGAATCATTTACTTGCTGAAAATGCAGTTTTGGCAGAAATCATTCAACAGCAATTTCAGAAATATGAAATGGACTGTTCAAGGTTCCTGGATATTTTTGTTAATAAGAACAAAGAGAACTTCTAGGTGTAAAAAGAGGAGCATGTCATTGCCCGCCTAACCCAGTGGTTAGTTTCAAAGACCTCTTTGTTTCATCTGAGAAGATTGGGATCCATTTTGCATCTTGTCCCAAGAGAATGCCTGGGTCTTTTTTTAGTGTGGATCTTTTTCTTGAAGTTGGATCTTGAAGTTGTTCTTTTTTTTGCATGGAGAACAATTCTGTAAGATGCTGTTTAGGTCATTCTTCTGAGAGGTGAGAGATCTTGGTCTGAATCCCAAATCCATGCATTTTGAAATGCTCTAACCCCAGGGACTGTAAGTCATTTTAGAATGGATTGTGCTCGCTCTCTCTCTCTCTCTCTCCTCTTTGGAGTATTACTTTTTATAAAATACTTAATAGTAACTGGAATGGCAACTGAAGTAGCTTATTCTAAAATATACTTCATTGTTCTGGGAGATCAATGACTTTGGTTCAGGTCCCCTCATTTAGAGTAGAGGCTTGATCATCAGTGTCACATCCTGAGTAACTTAATCAACCAGACTGTTGGGTAAAAGAAAAGCTGCTTCTGCCACCAGCTTTTTCTCTGGTTTTTTTGAATGTACAGTAACTTGTCACTTCCTTCACTTTTCTTAAAAGCACCTGAAAATATAATGTTTTGTTTTATCAGGAAAAACAATTCCCACACCTGTTTTTCAGTTTGGCAGCCAAACCACCCCCCACCCCCTGCAACACATTTATTTATGGAGCACTAATGCTTTTGTAGGGATATAAAGTATGAACTTCGTATATGAATTGACAGTTGTCATTCTAAATGTTCTTTGCAGCTATTGCCTACCTGCTTTTTTAAAGTAGAAGGGAGAGGAGTTCATATTTTATAGATAAATACTACTTTGTGAATCTGTTAGCAACATGTATTTAATAGGGGTGTTATCAGCAGTTCTTCATCCATTACCATGAAAACAAATGCATCACCTTTTCCTGTGTTTCAGCCATCCATATCTAGGTAAACTCAAGAATACTCTAGAACTCAGTATACCTACAGAATACCTTTTCTGGACAAATAGTACAGCATTCCTTCATACAAATATAAGATTATTTTGAAAAAATGATTACTGTTCTTATTGATGCAGCATCAGTGGGAAATTTGAGAGTAGTATGGTACATTTACTCCTTTTGCATATTCAGTGGATAAATGCAGTACATTCAGCAGTTAGTTTAGAAGGTAGTTGCAAAATGTAGGACAGAGGTGAGTAGAGAGATGAGTATTGTATAGAATAACAGTGCCCATGATGCATTTTCAGGATAGTTACAGTTTATATTCTTGATTTAAATATACAAATTATAATCATTAAAATATTGTATATTTTCCTCTACCTGATATTTTTCTTAGGTCAGAGAAAATCAAGTGTCATATGGTGAGTTTGAGCCTAGAAAAGATGATGATGAAATTTGTTCTCTACAGATGAAAATAGAATGCTTACAAACTCCTTCACAGGACTTTGGTAAAAAGATACATATGCTATTTTTAATATGTCTTCACCTATATAGATGGACTAATGGCTTTAAATCTCAGTTGGTTTCTAGTGGAGAAAACAAGTTTAACAAAATGACAGAACCGTCAATACCATTTATTTTATTTATTTATTCATTCATTTATTTATTTATTTTGTTCTTTTAAGTCTGTGGGATGTTGTTTAGAAATGTAACTGACATACTCTGAAACAAGAGATTTCAGCAATGCTGAAAAATTGGATTACGTCTTGTTTTATTTTTCAAGAGGGAAGGATGAGTATTAATTGTACTCATTTTTAATATATAAGACTTGTCTGTTAGCACAGTTACCTTCATTAAAAAGAGTTCTCTGCTGTTACTGCTATTCAGTTTTTTATTATTATTTTACATAGAATGTTGACATGTATTAATATAATTAACTGACTTTTTTTCTCCCACATCAAATGACCTATTTGTAGATGTCATGGTTAGAGAATCCCATTGGGAGGAGATGGAGAACCATAAGAGACAACTTGAAAAACAACATGCTCAAGAACTAGAGCACCTCCGGTCCTATTTCCAGCAGCAGTTGAAAGAAACTGAAGAGAGATACACAACTGAGATCATTCATTTACAAAACAGACTTCAGAATAACAGTGGCTCTTCTGAACACTTCAGGTATCCATCATTTTTGTTGTCCTTTTGTACAATATTTACAGTTTTTTAAACTGAGCAACCATATTACAAATACTAATATTTTAAAAAGCTGATGTGGACCAGATTTTCAGCTTTTATTAGCAACATCAGACAGAAGACCAGGCAGGGTGGCTGGCACCTTAGACCAGTGGCTCTCAACCTTTTTAGATTCAAAGCAATCCTTGTTAGACTCAAAGCACCCCTCAGAAAATGCCAGTTCTTAGCTTTCACTTGTTTTTTGATTGTGGAAAAATAATAGAGTAATTCTTCTGTTGCAAGAACTCAGAAAATCGACAGCATGTTTTGAACACTATGGATTCCTGTTTGAAATTTTAGGGTTTCTCTTGTGAGATGATAGGTATTTGCCCACTTAACAGTTCTGATAGGCTCCCCAGTGTCAAGTTCACAGTTAGACTCGCTCCAAAGTATGGAAGGGAATGTGAGAAGCACAGGGAAAAAGGGAACATGTAGCAATCACATGGGTGGCAGTGCAGGATGTATTACTGGTAAGGGAGAGGGTACGCAGATGGGGATTAAACAGATCAGGAAAATTCCCAAGGGAAAACTGTGAGAACATAGAATCAACTTACAACTTGGGAGTGTGGGTGTGCAGAGAAGTTGTGGAAGAGTGGGGGGAGGTTTGCAAAGAGAACCTAATAGAATAATGTATTGACATACAAGATGGCAATGTATGGACTGGACCGAAGAGAGCAAATGAGCCAGCAAATGAGACTGTTGATAGTGTGCATGAGAGTGGCGATCTAAAAGATGCAAACCCTGTTGGTATGCAAGGGACTATTCTTCACATCATGAGAATGCATGCAACTAGCCACGTGTGAACTGCAAACATACATTGGTAGAGATAAGAGCTGGGAACAAGTGAGACGAACAAGTGGACATTAAAAGACTGGGGAACACTGTTCCAGGAAAATTCTAGGTGGCGGGTAGGGGGAGCAGGGGAAATAACAGAATGGGTTGAGAGGAAATTGATGAAAGCATGACAAGCAATGCCATTTGAAGAGACAATGGTAAGGGAAGACTGTTGGGCGGTTATACAAGAACTGGTATAGAAATGCTAATATGATGTGAAATAAAGCGATTGTTGATTGTTTAAAATGGATATATCAGGGGAAGGGGAGATGTATCTTGTTGAGGCTATATGTAAGCAAGAGGCAAGTGATGTCAGAGGATAAGCACAAAGGTGAATGAAACAGTAATGTGACGGGGCAACGTTTTGGCCCAGATCTCAACGTCGGTCCACCCACCTGCCTATATGGAGCAGTCTGCCCAGTCTCTCCTGCCACGACTTTGCTAGATAATAAACTGGTGGTAAATGTGGGAAGCTTCCTATTATATGCCCCGATGCCAGGGGGCACTATCCACAGCTCCATACCTTCCTTACACTGTGGCCTGTGCTTTGCAAACGGCATCCAGGTGTTTATTACATCTCACAGGTAGATTTCAAAGTATGTAAATGAGGAGGTTCTATATATTTTGGGAAATGTTTTATGTGAAGTGATATAAACAGTTTTGTTTTTAATACGGTGGGAGGAGATGTTGATTTTAATAAAATAAAGAAGTTGTTCATTCCCAGTGACTTTTTAAAGAGGTATGTGCAGCTGAGGATGGGGAAAGCGTCTTCATCACCTGCTGCACATGCCCATTTAAAGAGCTGCCTGACATATGTAACTGAGGATGGAGAGCTTCCCCATGCCCTGTTGCTTGTGTCAGGCATCTCTTTAAACCAGTGCATACAGCAGGGGGATAGAAGAAACTCACCCATTCCCTGCTGCACTCTCCCATTTTTAAAGAGGTGTTCAGCATCCTTGGGAGACAGAGCAGGGGCAGCTGGGTTTGGGATCCGGACCTGCCCCTAGCCAACCCAGTTCTGCCACCTGGGCAGGGGGTAGCTTTGTCCCAGATGCCAGGGTGGTCCTGTCCTGAATCCTGAATCTGGTTCGGACCCAGGGCTGTCCCCTCTCCAATCCTGAGGATCAGGCAAAACCCAGTTCTGTCATGCCTAGCACCTTAAAGAGCCTTAAAGACTGGGGGCTACAGGGCAAGACTCTTTAAGGTGCCAGATCCTGGCAAACCCACATCCTGTTGCAGATAATCAGATGATTTTACAGACATCTTTACAGACAGAGCAAGGTTGACATTACAGTAGAGTTTTGGGGAGGACCATCATCTTCATGGTGTTGATTCTTCCCATCCAACTTAGAAAATCTTGCCAAGAATTCAGTTCTTTTTTCATTTGTTCAGTGGGAGACACAACGTTTGCTTTATATAAAAATGTGGTGTCTCTTGTAGTTTTAGTTCCTAGGTACTTTTATTCACTTTACATGGGATTATACTCTGTAGAGAGATCTCATCACTCTCTGTATTAGCAAATATCAATCAATGCAGGGGACTTGTAATTAATTTATAAGAAAATGATTTATTTGATATCCCAACAAGGTGCCATAGGTTTTTGTAGTTTGTACAACTGCAGATACTTATGTATTTGTTTGGAATGATACATAGAAGCATATCATCTGCATATAACATGGCCTTGTGCTCCTTTCGTCCCAACATTACTCCCTTGATATCTTTGTTTTCTCTGGCTGGTGACGAATGTTTAAAAAAGCAAAACAAAACAACCCCCCCCCCCCCC